TACTGGATAGTGACTAAGAACTTGGATGCTGGTATCAGAGGAACAAAGTTTAGAATACTAATCCTATCATTTACTAGCTACTGTGTGGCCTTAAAAAAGTGGCTTAACCTCTTTGAAACTCATTTTCTTCATCTACATAAAGGAATAACAATGGTATCTCCCTCATAGGTTTCTCAAGACGATGCAATAAGATAACATACTGAAAATATTTAACACAAAGATTGCCATGTATAAGAGTTAAATAAATATTAACTGTGATGATGATGACAATATCCGAGTGTGGATCTATGACTGTGCGATTTTGTGAAAGTTTTGTCTTCTCTACCTTATTCTTTTCATTTAAAAGATGGAGATAAAATCAGTAGTTGCTTTGTGAGTTTATTAAAGGATTAGATAAATCAATGTATACTTCTTTTCCTAAAATATACTGAACAACCCATAAATAAGCCATTAGCTGTTACTATTATCATTAGTAACACACTTTACTTCGCAGAGTAGGTGAATTTGTAATATCAACAGAGTTGCTTACCTCTGGGTTGAGGCGTTCACCATTTTTTAACCACATGTACCAAGGGCTTGGCTTTCCACTAGCTTTGCATTCCCACAACAAGCTGTCATAGATAGAGAGGTATGTATTTTGGATTTTCTGTTCCCATTCTGGGGGAGCTGTTTCAAAAAAGGGTGAGAACAACTGTTTGGTAAGGCAATTATCCAAGCAAGACATTATGCTACGTTCCAAGGGCTATAGAAATCGAAGGACAGGGCTAACTGGGTCCAGTTGGACTGCATGCACATGATTTGTACAAGGGAAAATGCAGGAGCTTCAATGTGGGGTGACAGAAATCCTGCTGCAAATATCCTTGGGCATTTGGCTCAAGTTAAGTGTTTATCATCTGTCATTTTGCTGCACCTGTATAACAACTTGGGAGTGGTGGAAAAAGGTCAAAATTCAGAACAGGGCCAAGGAATAATTCCATGCTAAATATTAGTACATATGTCAAGTTAGAAAATGTATACCAAATCTGAACCTGTATACTAAATATGAAAGTCTATTGGTTATATTTGACCTAAACAAACTCAAATTGAGCACACCTATATCAGACAATTACAACTCAATTGCTTGAAGTATACATCAAATACAAGCCTCATCACATATTGGTAGGATGATAATCCAACATATTTTTTCCCTAGATAAAAATCCTAACAGGAAATGAGAACTTTTAGAGTTGTATGCAGGTTAAGTAAACTAACTTTAACCCTGAGCATAAGTTTTCTGAAACATCATTTTCTAATCTGAGAAAGTTCTGCGTAGCACTGAGGCAAAAAGCACCTGATATAATTGATATGAAAGTAAGGAAGTATTATCGTTACCATCATTCATGAAAACAGATGGGCTGTAAATTAAATGTTTTAAAATTCACATTTATTCCATAAAGATGATTGGAAGCTTCCTGAATGCACCAATTAATCCCTCTCCTTTATTTAGTTCTGTACTTGGATATATAGGAATATAGGCGTCTTCTCTTGGAACCTCAGGCTGCGACAAGCTAGATGTTTGACATTTGCAATTGAACTTAATTCTCTCTACAATCCTTTGTAGTGGATTTTTGCAGAGGTATTAGGTAACCTCATTAAGACGACATAGTTAGAAAACACAGAAATTAAAATTTGAGTCCTGAAAGCAGAGTCTAAGTAAAGGGCTTACATTCAGGACATTTATTTGAGAATATTAGCCCAAGGGAAAAGCATCAGGAAAAGAGTCAACAAGGAAGGAAATTCAATGCAACGATGAGTTATTGAGTTGGCTACCAACATAGACCATTTTTACTCCATTCGAGGTGAATTTCTAAGGAGTCGTTATGAGCTGTCTACTCAGGGAAAGGAAGGGGAAGCATTTATTCATTGGTTCCTGTCCATAGTCATCTAAGGGTAGTGCAGGTGTAAACTACAAGCGCATCCATATTGTGCATGCTTAAGTGCTGAGTAGGCTCCTGAAGGGGCCAAAGAAAACCTGGAACAGGAAACGAGATGTACTTGGTGCAGCACCCGAGACAAGACTCTTTCACGTTACACCTATAGAACATGGCACTGACCTGGTCACTCTAGCAGTGGGTGACATAAGTGGGCTAAGAGGATCTGAAATGGTGCACAATGTGAAACCTAACTCTATCTCACTTCTAGGATTTTTCCGCTGCAACACCTACCCAACCCTCAAAGAGAGAATGCTCTTCAGGGAGGCTGTAATTGAGTAGAAGGAATCATGATGTCTCTGCATGGTGAGAACTAAGCCTACAGTTACCTCCTGTGGAAATCAGGACAACTTCCAGGTACAGCTGAATATGCCTCATGGAGCCTTGAGGAACAAATCAAGGAAAGACTTAGAAGAACTGGGTATATTGATGAAACTGAATCATGTTTCAGGGTATTATGAATAAAATTGTATACTTTGTAGATACTTATTTAGAAATTGTCCTGATGTGTTTGACCTGGGAGCAGAAATGCATGTCCATATATAATTCAACATAGCTTAAAAAGGTTTAAGAGATATCTAATTTTTTGCTTAATGCAATAATGGGATTTATTTATTTATTTAATGTGCATGTGCACATTTGGATGTTTAGGATTTCTGAAGAGCAAAGTTTTAAATTTTCAACTACATAGGAAATACATGCAAGAAAGAGCTTAGGATTTGGGGTCTCACAGGCTTCAGTTTTAGATTTTTTCCCCTTGTTGCCTGGTTATGAAGGCAACTTGACTCCTCTGAACATGTTCTATTGCTGTAATGATAAAAAGAGTTTAGATATTTCTATTGGAGGTTATAAAGATACAATATAGATGGATATGTATAATATTACTTGGTTCTAAATTATAACTTAAACACAGCAATATAATTGAAACTCTGAGATTCTTTCCTTGAATTTTTCAAGTATTATTCAATTCTGAGGAAATTGAGTCAATTCTCTGTTCTTTTGAGAGCACTTCAGCAAGTGAATTAATATTTGACTAAAAAGGATAATGATTATCTTATTGATCAATTATCCGTTATTCCCCCACAAGGACCATTTTGGACTCAGTAAATGGCTAATTTGATTGTGATGAGACATAGTACAAACAGACGTAGACCACCATGTTGAAGAGCTATGGTAGAATAGAAAGAGTCCTTCAAGGTTCTGATCTGGATTCT